TGCTAACAGCTTTCACAAGAAGGGCTTTAATAAACAGAACTCACTGGCGCGACTTTGCCTAAGTGAAAAAAAAAAAATATTTATGTTTTTTTCTTTTAACTTATTATCTAGTTCTTCTACATGCTTTTTTAGACGAATTATTTTTCGGTTGAGGTTATTGATGTTATTTTGATCTTTATTATATTCTACCATTAACACTTGAGCTTCTAATAACAATAAAGCTTTACCGTTTTGTTCCAAAAATATTTTTTGATTTATTGAAGTTTCTGCCATTTGCACAAAATCATTTATTTGACTAATTTTCTTTTTAATCTGCTTCGCAATTGGCCTTCAGTTCTTAATGCATTTATTATTTTCTCATAATTAGAAAAAATATTCGGGTATTTCGCAGCAATAGTTGCTTGTAACAAAATAACAGTATTAGCATCTAAAAAACCAAGCAGATAAAATAATGAATGTTTATTATTTGGATCGTATTTATCCCTTATACTTTTAAAAAGGCAGTAATCTGAACCCTTATTTAATGGCTGGTTTAAATCCGAATTGATATTATAAGCATACCATTTAAACTTAAAATGACAAGTTTGATCATATTTAATCCTAAACTTCCAAATTTTTTCATTCATACTAAAGAAAACCGTGTATCCAGATAACAAAGGAATCCACTCATTCTTTTCAGTTTTGGATTAATAATGATAGTATCTGACAAACGAGGAAATATTTTCTGTTAACGAAATTGCTTGGAGCTGTTTATATAATTTTAATACTTCTAATTTTGGGTTAATTTCTCTAACAATCCATCTGTTTTTTTTATTGCCTATCAAGAGTTTTTTTCCTGGCATTTTCATAATACATCTTTCATACCATTTAGACATTTTAGTTTTATTGTTTTCTTTGAAATTGCAAAAGTTTTGTTTATCGAAAAAAAATTTTTCAAGGTTATTTATTCAGAGATCGTACAATTTTTTTGAGGTATATTGAAAAAGTATAAGGCTTATATTTTTGGTAATCAATTGGTATTAATAATGTATTAATAATTTTTTATTTTCTCAAGATTCAATCGATTCTGTTATCTAATATAAAACTTATTCAAACTAGTTTGAGAATACTAATCTGAAACCTGTAATATCAAAATGAATTTTAGAAATACAGATTTTTTAGTACAGGTAACACTACTTTAAAATCAATTGGTTAAAATATATTTTATTAACAGAATCATCTATACTAAAAGAGATCCAGATATACTAATATTTTTGAAACTAGTTTCATGAGTCAAATTCATATTCCTAAACATAAATTTTGAATCACTAAAACTTTTTGAAAAAAAGAAAATTTCTGGTGAAAGATATACATAACAATGCTGTGACATATAGATTGAAACTGGATATAGTGCTACAAGATACATATACAACACACATAGAATAGTTGGGATCAAGTTAGATCAGTTTGAGGTATATTGTAAAAGTATGATTTATGTACTGGGTCCAAATAATACAACTAAAACTAACTAAACTACTTTAACCAGAACACCACAACTAATAAAACCAAATCCTAATAGTGGTAAGGCAACGATTAAGGCGTGAAAAAACTTGGTCAGAGTAACTAGAGTGAATTGGGTTCTTAGTAATAGTGTCAGATTAGAGCTCTGGATTATGTTATGAATCTCGATACAGAATCATAGGATTTGGTCACTTATTCCTATTGTTAATACAGATTTTATTTATTGGGGGGGATTAGTAGAGTCAAACACTTCTATTTAAAGAACTTAGAAGGTTTTCGAACTCTGAGAGTTGAGCATTAAGAGTGAAAGCTGAAAGCTGTCAAAACTGTCTTTATTGAAGGTAAGCTTTGATTGCTTATATATTTTCTTTACATATATAATATAATCACAAGAATTCTAATGATAACTATTCTAACTATTCTAACTATTCTTACGATTACTGATATTATTATTTTACTAGAATTACAATGATTAACATAATACTACCTATTCTAAGAATCCTGACGATCCAAATAATACTAACTATTCTGTGGATTCTTAGGATTCAGAATTCGTGCTATATTAGAAACTGCAGTAATTGCGGGGGTAATTTACATTTTCACAACGTACGTACGTATGTATTAAAAAATGTTTATAGCTCAATTTTGTTAAGGAACCATTTAATTAAAGGCGTTTAAAATTTAATTTTATATATATTTTATTTTTAATTCATATTTGTAAACATAGCAGGAACTGAATAAAGTCGAAATAAGGTCGAAAAAGCTTGCATAGTTAAAATATGTAGTGACTAACTCGGGATAAAATTTCATGTAATTCAATGCCATCTATTTGCTATATATATCAAAGAAACAATTAAAATATCAGTGCAGAAGGTCCGCCACAATTACACAGCAGTCATAAAAAATGAATATACATAGCAAAATTATTAATTGTGTATACTATATTATATTCCAACAGATAAGTATTATTTTATACATATACTCTTTTGTTTAGGAATTAGTATTCTCGCAAGATTATATGTGATTTACCTTCTATATGCATAGAACAAGCTTAAAATATAATTACATATAGGTATCATATTGTCAGTAGAAATTTTTGATGTAAGAGCGCATATTTTTGCTTTTGCCTAACCTTTCTAACTTTTTGAGTTTGGGAAAAAGATGAAAAAAATATAAAAGGGCAGTATCTTTAATTATTGTTAATTGTCGCTTTATAGTGATTTTTAACAAATTCTTTTAATTTTATTGTAAAATGCAGAATAAGATTTTTGAATTCTTGACAACTGCCAAAGAATATCAGATAAACACTACTTCAGTTATTTACCTTGGGCTAAAAGAAAACTGTTAGATTCCACAAAACGAACTAAGATTAATTATAAATCAAGCTATAGCTTCTGCTAGTGATATAAGTATGAAAGCCACATCTTATCACTCAAGAATTTTAAAAATTTCTTTACAGGTTAGTTAAAGTTTCATACAAATACTTTAAAATTTTTTATATGATGATATTGTATGATCCGCTTATAGAGTGCTGAACAAACGGGCTATATTATTTAGTTTGTTTATATTTTTCACCCATAAGTTGGCCCCTAATAATACTTGTATATAATACAAAGTGTATATACTACAGACTGTTATGCAGTATTGTAGTTTACTTTACTAACCTATTATATGAAAAGGTTATTGCACGGTTGAGTGAGTTATGAATTATTATGTAGTTAATTAGTATCGCACAAGGTTTCATTAGTGTGATGGCCACACAAAGATGTTAACTTTGCATATACACTAATAATATATGTTAGTTTTAATGATGAAAATTTTATACATATTCTGAATCTAACATATAGCATTTTTTTTTGTAGTTTGATAGTGTTTTCAAAGGCGTGTATTCATTATTTGATATGGAAGCAATTAAAACAAATAAGGAAAAACTGCTTAGTTACAACAAATTGATAACAATATCGAGAAGTTAAAAAAGAAACTCAGGAAAGATTCCTCTTCTCTTTATTTGCATTTATTCTCGAGTATAAAGAAAACTCCTATTCAAGAATTAACTTAAAAAAATCCTTTGGCTAATTAAATTATTAGAGACGATGCCTCATTTATACAAGATTTAAGTAAATGCTCAAAAACGAAAGGCCTATACAAAGCATTTATGGTATAAGTTTATTATTCAGTAAAATACTTTCTATAAATTATTTCTAATATTTCTCATTATTGATTTTTTCTAGAAACCGGTCAGACAAATGAAACCTATGCTTTCGTTAAGTATTGAAAAGATGTGTAAAGAATTTGTATCAAATTTTTCAGGTTATAATTATAGTGGATTTTCTGAAAAGTTGATTCATAATGGGACATGGAAAGAATCTGAAGATAAAATTCTATCTGTCATAAATGAAATTTTTAATACCATGGAAAATGTTTGAAATAATTCAGCTCTTAACTTTGAAGTAGCTAGAACGTTAAATGAGGGAACTTATCAATCTACCGTTATTGTATCATTTATTTGAGCTGTACTAAAAAATCTTCCCTTTAGATTTTCATTTATTAGCACATCAGAAAGAAAAAGTATTGCGAGTGCAGATAGAAAAGGAGATGGTCAAGCAGGAAGACGTCCAGATATCATGTTAATGGTGAAACATTTGGATATACTTTTTGAAATTATGTATGTCGAATATTTGAGATTGATTTATACACCTCAAAAAATGGTGGATGATAATATAAAGTTATGGAGAGAGTATAACAATGGTATGTATTATATACGAAAAACTCTTTATTCAGAGAAAGATCAATTTGAAATTGTTGGGATACAAATAGCACAAGATACTTTACATCTTAATGTTCTTATCAGGGATAAAATGAATGTTAATAGATATTATAATATAGAATCGGTAAAAATCTCTGTACAAAAATCAGAAGAGGCCATTGTAATTAAAATTGTAAAAACCCTTCTTCTTTTATATAACATAATAATTACAAATTTGTCTTTATTATATTATGGATCAGTATATATATCTAAAAGGCAAAAGGAAGACAGAACTACTGTAAATTCTGAATAATATTTATTCTTTCCTGTATTTTATTTTTATTCAATAAAAAATTAAAACTCGACAGTTTAATTTCGTATAAATAATATATTTTTGGAATTTATTGTTATTGATATTACATATATATAGTCATAAACTATTGTATGAAAACTTCTAATTTGTGTTATAGCACTATTTTTTCTTTATTACTATAGAGTATGCTAGACACTAATTAAAAGAACCATAAAACTTACTATTTTAGCTAAACACTTCTGGGTGCATAAACTACAACCTGACGCTAATAAAACATCACAAATTGGTTACGTGACAAAAACAAAAGGTGGCATGTATATGACAAACTGTAATAGGAGATAATTTTAAGAATTCAGAATTCAAGTGGGCTCATACCCAAGGTCATTTTATCAAAATCCAAAGAAGTTTGCGAGGCATTTTTGCAAAGTGCATCTGCTAAATACTTTTCCAATGTCTAATCCACTAAAAATCAAATAAGCAGCGAGGCATTTTGCAAAGTGCATCCACCAATGCTTTTCTTTTTTCTGATCTATTAGCATCTTTAGTCCCAATACTGTTTGTAAAGCTTAATATGTTGATGTGGTGTGTTTTTTTAGGCTCTTCTCTTTCTCGCATTTATATCTTTGGTTAAGAAGACATTGAGTCTCAACATATATTGGCATTCCATGAACCATCGAGTTTGAATTCATTAATATCATATCGTTTATCTGTTTT